TTTTCAAGAATAGAGCTCTATCATTAAACTAAGGAATATTAAATATATAACGTGTATAATGATTGTGTTGCTCGTATATTGTAGCTGATGTATTTCCGAAAACAGTGAAGTAATAAAATGGAAAGCGAATAGATTATATTGATCGCGGAAAGAGGATAAAATCTTATTGTGGAAGTACAAAATTGGAAGAGTAGAAAAGGACTAGGAATAGTTAAAAAATGGGTTTAGAACTTGTGAAATGTCCACTGTATATCCGCAACGATATTAATGATTCTTGATTAATATTAACGTTTTAGCAGGTACCTTTTTTGATAATTGAAATCTTTTATACTCTTTATAGTCTTTTATATTTTAACACAAATTTAGGATTAAAACAACTAATCTGAGTAAAGAGTATATATTGGAGTAAAATTGGTATATAAATTAATTTATGAAAATATATGTCGCATCCCTTTATATGATTAAAATACGCGAAATGGTATCCGCAATCAGGTTAAAATGGGAATATTTGGCAAGAATACAGTACTATTTAAGCTGTAGCTAAATTTTTAACTAAGTTTGAATAACTTTTTAAGGAAGTATTTGTAAACAAGTTTTTCATTTAAAATTGAATTTCTTATTTCAATTCCAAACTGCTGACCCTTCATTATACTGTAGAAATATATTTTGTGTATTAATTATAGCAATTTAATTATAATAAAGATAATTTTTTAAGTCAATAATACTGAAATTTGATTTTAAAATTATTTTCAAGGTAAATATTTTTAAGGTAAAGAATATGAGGATAGAGAATATTAAATTTTAGTTTCCAATTAATTTCGGATAAAATCATCTGAAATAATTTTTAATACAAATAAAGGAATACAAATAAACATCTCAATTAAAAATAATAAAAAAATTTTAAATATTAAAATTTATATTGAAGATTAAACGAATTAGGAAGCCCCAGAAATATAAGTGCAAATTTGAGAAATGATTCGAGACATAGCGATTCGCTGTTCATAAATATAAATATAATTCGTTGACTAGATGATGTAAAGCTTTGTAATAATATATATGTAACGTGTTTGTTTTTAGCTCGCCTGTTAGGCCTTTGATAACGAAAAAAAGTAACGCGTTGTGTACAGGTCCCATAATCACCGGATATCCTAACCGCAGTTTCTTTGGTTCATTTGGAGATTTTTCCTTAACAAAAGTCGAGGAAAATCATATTTTCTTACACATTCCCAAATTCAATATTAGATATTTCCCTGTTTAAACTTTAAATAAAAATTCTATTAAAGTCTTGAGAACCAAGAAAAGAATGTATTATTTTTGTAATTTATGTAATTTGATCCGCCAGAAATCTTGAAATCAGTAGTTAATTATTCAAGAAATTATAAATTTGATATTTTCGACAGGAAAAATCAATTCCAAAGTAGCCAAGGAATTCGTAAGAATAATTTGAGAAAAACGACCGACGGTTGTGGCATACCCAGTATGTTATGTAATTTATGTGTATATACGTGTATATATGTGTAGAATAAATGCGCCCCGTGTTGTGCTCCATAACAAGAGTGGTGTTGGAAGGATCATCGAGGCGCTTATATAGCATGAGAATGAGTAAATCGAAGATAAAAGACTGGAGAAAGACGTATGGTGTAACGACTTATAATATATAATTCATAGAAAAGCGAAAAATGGATCAGCGATATATTACCCTCTCTCTTTCATTTTCTTACGTTTTTTCATACTTTTTCTCTCTTCCTCTCCCGAACCGGCCACAAATCGATAAAATTGCAACTAGAAATAAATATTGATACGCACTATTCGCCTCTTCGAGCGAGTGCATTTACACAACGAATCTGCGACTCTGACTTTTAGTAGTCGAGGTGATATATCGCGGAGAAAAAGAATTCGCCTCATATCATATCTATTAATTAACATTATCCCACATATGATCATGTAAAATGACATCATATAATGTATTCCATGATTCACAAATACGTATCCTTTCAGTTACAATTTCCTCCATCAATATATATAAAATCGATTTTTTTCTAAAAATATCCAGTGAAATCGTCATTATACTTTCTCAATTTTTAACATTGCATATTTCTGCAAATGAATTTGAAATGAAGCTCTTAATAAAATCTATTTGGATTGAAAATAATCTTGTCAAATAGTTCCTCCGAAATTTAATTTACGAAATTATTTTTTCTATTAGTTATTCAGTAATTATGTTTTTACCGGTTTTATTGATAAAAAAATGTGTTTTAAATTGATCGAGAAATTTGTAATAACAAGAAAACTTTAAGACAATCTATTCTGTATATTTATATTGTTATGAAATATTCACAATTTTTTACTATAAATTATGATATTTCTATTTATGTATATGTTTTCATTCCTTTACATATTTTTTTTAGATGTACAATGTCATAATTGGATATTTTTAAAAATTTTATAATGAAATTAGATAGATCACAATCGCATTATAATCATATATCCGTTGTTGTACTAAAAGTTCATTTACAAAATTTGTTAAAATAATCTTACTTTGAATAATTATCGACAACTTTAGTCTAGATAAATAATGAAAATAAATATTCTGGCTTTAATAATAATCACAACGAATATAATAATTATAATATATTATTTCCTAAATAAATAATTATTTATCTTACGTATGTAAAAAAAAATAATTACATAATAAAGCATATAAGATAAAAATATTGAATAATAATAGTGTTCGATTAATCAGATCGTAATGAAAAAACTTATCTTTTCAAATCGCCTTGAATTCAAGCCTCTTAAAAATAAAATATCACGTAATGCCTTTAGTACACATTTGTAACACAACCTGTGATATATTCTTCATTAAAAAAAATAATAAACTTAAGATAATTTGCAAATAAGCTCTTAATTCTCAAATAATTGCTAAATGGAATTATGATATTAAAAACTGTTAGTATTTTATGATATTATAGTACTAAAAACTGTGTGTGTTAATATTTTATTTTATATTATAATGCGATAAGTATTTTCGATTGTTTCGTTCTCTATTACGGCTTTATCAATTTTTAAATTGCACGACTGAACGGCGTAAAACTTTAACATAATAAGAACGAAATGAATGCATACCGAACAGAAAACATCACAGCAACGACGATTGCATAATCGCGTTGAAAAGGCATATGCTAAAGTCGATACTCGTAGCAGTAGCAATACATCGAACTTGTTTCTCCGCGCGATAAAAAAATTGTCGCACACAGACTGCATATCTTTTAATGTTATCTAACTGCATGTCTAAGCAAGTGCGAAATATCGTTGTAGAAATACACACGCGCTATAATCTGGATAATTTCCGGTTGAAAAGGCAACCGGCTTTTGTCGCAAGAACAATTTTCCCCACACAGAAACGCCGTCATAAAGTAATCTCGCGCTCTCCGTTTCTTTCTCTTTCTATCTTGTCTAATTACAGATAAAACTGTGCGTTGGAATGAAAACTTAAATAACGTCAGACGCTTTAGAAGGGAACCATCGCACGCAACGTATGTAAGCACGCCTAACACGATTTTGCAAAACCGCATGCGCGAATATATCAAGTTTAACGCGGAAGTTTTGCCGTGTAATTTCTTATCAATCCTAAATAAGCTCTTCTGCATCTCTATAAAATTATTACTTACAAATACTGTAACACAAAACTTTCATTTCAATAGATTTTTAGTGGACATTTCATGGAGTTCCCGCAAATAATTTTGAAAAGCTATGTCGTTTGAATTATCTATAAGAAAAGCGCGTAACAAATATCCGAATTAATTTGAAAACAAAATTATATTTTCAGTTATATGTAATTTCTGCGGGAACTCGGTCTAGGATGATTGTATTCTGGAAAATGTTTTTACTGCCTCTTAAATTTCTCTATCTCTCACGATAATTTCTAATTGCTAACTAACGACACCGATGGACGAAACGATTGACGAGTGTTCCCTTAAGGGAAATGTCATCGCATTTTGTTTAAATACCTATTTTTAATAATTCATTATTTCTAAGAACACACGTTCCTTGCTCTCCTTGATATGCTCGAAACGCGGCTCTCACTTTTAACATGGAATACTTTCAAACTTGCTTGTGCCTCCTTTTAGCTTTTTCTCACTTTCTGTCACTTAAGAGATCATCTTAAAGAAGTTACCACATTCTTATCTAAATTGTATGACCAGAGAAGAAGTTACTCTTTATTCGATTTACGGTCCTAATAGTTTTATCCAGGATACATTCTGGCGATATCCTCAGGATGTCCAAAAGACGTTCCATATCCAGGGATGTCTTCAAGATGTCCCTGGAGTGTCTATTATGTTTGAAGAAAACTAATTTCTTCTTGACTATTTGCAATCCATCATTTCTGTCTTTTTGCCGTTTTTTATTTAAATTCAATTCAATTAATAAATCTTTCAAATGCTTGTATTCTTACTATTACAATTCTTCGAATCTTTACATGTCTCTAAACTTACGTCTTGAATTTTAGTATTTTTAGAGATTCGGCTATAGGGACACCGTATATAATTATTTGCATTTTTTTCAGAAATGATTATAATAAAAACAAGACAATACGGAAGAAATCGAAACATTATGCAAACTTCTTCAATGATCATGCTTTTACATTTGTCACATATTGTCATCAGTAACGTCCCGACAATCCAACTTGGAAGCGTTTACTATCGTGTGTTTACATTCAAAAAAATTAAATTTTATATAAGTTTACTTTGAATTTACTTCTTTAAATTTATTCAATGATGGAAGCTACGAATTAAAAAATGATTACTAATGATCACATGTCTTTAAAAAGAATAGCAATAAAATGTTCAAGTTACTACGGAAAAAAAACGACGTGATCATATAATTCGTCATTATATAATTAATTATAATGACAATGGCAATTTGTCATTTTATTATATAATATACGTTATATACATTTTTTATGTATTAGATGTTATATATCCATGATTCTATAACGCGATTTATATTCCGTATAATATATCATGATATATATTCCAATATATAATTGCATCATTTTATACTCTCTTTTAACGTGATGCGCTTTAAAACGTATCACATGATCATCAATCGTTTGTTCATACCGCAGTGTATTTCATCTTGTGCGATAGAACCTTGTTTTCATTATCACGTAATAAATGTATCACATACATCCAAAGAAAATTTAATTTGGTATTCTCTTTCGGCGTTAATATTTGTCATTATTTGCTACTTTTCTCTCTCTCTCTCTTTCTTTTCTTCGAGGCACACCGCGTGCGATATTTTCGCTAACGACTGACGTTAGATTCGAGAGGTCACGACCGAGGGAGGGTACAAAATGAACGAATATTTAGTCTATGTCAATCACATCCGTATTTTCCGCTGATCCCTTTCGCTGTCGCAATTTCCGGCGCAGCAGGACCGATTTAAGGATACTGGACGACCTTGGACCCGCGACATCCGGCCGCGGGATATTCTGCTACGCTGCTTTGTGCCTCTTTCTTTGCTCTCTTCTCGCCGCGTTCGAACTGGGACTGCCCGAACTACCACCTCTCTCGCAATCCGCTGTCGGCACAGGTTTTAGTTCTCTGTAAAAGTATACGCGTTGAAGAATCTCTTCGCATTCTTTTGCAAACTTAAAATGATGGAAAAACGTCGGCTACATCGCGAAGATATAAAGTTTCGCTGTTCCAACAATTTATAAGGAGAAGAACTGCTTTTTTTACAAATATATTAAGAAAAATCGCATTACATATAATTTACATTTATTATTATAATTAATTAAATATTCCATAAGTAAGAAATAACACCTATATAGAATAAATACCGGTCAAATATTTCTAATATCTTTATAATTTATCTTTATAATATTCTTAATGTACACATTGTTCATATAAAAATAATGCAACAATCTTTCTTGCAATTCTTTAAATTAAATTTTTTTTTAGTGCATTATATTAATAACTAAAAAAATTGTATTCAGGAATTTTATTAATTTATTTTATATTCTCTGATTTTTATAATTAATAAATTAATATAGATTAATATAGATAGAATTAATAGAGATAAATTAATATAAAATTAGATTAATATAGATAATTTAATATAGATAGAATTTTATAATTAATAAATTTGCTTTCTTAATTACACAAAACATAAACATATGAAGATATGATTTTCGACTTATTCCTTTTTGCTTTCAAATACAGAGTTATATTTAAAAAAATTATAAAATCATATATGTACAGTTTAGTTTTTTTTTAAATCATATTTAATAACCGTAAAGTCAACCAAAAATATCAAACCATTTTATTACACTCGAGTTTCCCGAAACATTTTCACAGACGTTTTACATCTATAAATCGAAAAAATCCGATTAATTTCAACGAGGTGGTAATGGTATATACGTTATTATTAATTACTCACCTATAATTAAGTAATTCTTCGTCATCAGGCACTCTGGATATAAGATCGAGGACCTCGTTATTGGGCACGGAGTGAGGCCTGAAGATTTTTCTAGAGAACTTATTGACTCCCCAAGCGAGGATTAAATAGCGGACAGGAATAAAATAGAGCACGACTGCTCCAGCAATCGCCAGAAGCATTGCCAGGTAGCTTAAATAGGGGATCGTGAAGTTGAAGAGATTCTTCACTTTCTCGCAAAGACTAGCTATATAACCGATCGAGTTCTGGACTGTTTGCGTCACTTCTTGAATCGCCTGTAAACGCTCCTTTAGACTTTTCTTTTCCTCCTGAAAAATCATTAATAGATAAAATACGTAGAATTTATTGCTTAAACATTTAAAAAAACACACTGATTTCTGAAATGACATTTAGATGTTTCTTAATTTTTTAATTTTTATTTGCTCAAATATTTAACGTGCAAAAATTAGCATTAAAAAAAGAAACTATTGATTGCAAAAATAAAATTAAATCCATTACAAATTAATACCAAATGCAAGACAAAAACGTGGAAAATTAAAAAAAATTTTTAATCCGATAAAAATCGACCGAAGAAAAATTAGTACATATATTATTTGGGCGGTTAACAATGTTTGCAAATTAATTAATTAGCCTTCTATTATTAATCGAGTCAGTTTCATATGACATTATCTATTATATCTTATCTAAATGCGATGCGAATATACCGTTAAATTATAATATACGACGGAACTACGCTGTTGCTCGTAAAGATAACATCTTTATCCACTATTGTGATTCATAGAGCGTAACGAGATGCATAGAACATCCAATAGCGATGCTTAATTTTGAACAGTTTGGCTTATTTCTAACACAAGAGAAATTAATTCTACGTTAATTAATTTGCATAGGTCGAAGGTTATAGCGCTAAATAATTATTAGATGGAGCACAGTATATAATGCGTAAATGAGAATTTACCATATATTATTATTTTATAAATCCAGTATGAGTATTACTTGCATCATCTCTTTAGTTATATAACGAATAGATGCAAAAAACTTTTGTAGCAGTAATATAATTACGGCATAAATGATGTTTTATGTTTTATTTAATTTTTTTTATAAAGAATTCTATAATTTGCGACGCGAATAAATTAAGAATTTTGTAATTTTTGAAGATATAGTAACGCTCACTTTGTCTTTGTCGTCTTCGTCATCGTCATCGTCTCCCGGTGTCGGCGGACAATCGTCGGATCCAATCTCTGCATGATCTTGAAACTGCGAAGTTGCGTATATTAAAGGTGCGCCCGTTACCACTGCGACCTGTCCGCAAATCCAATGATTGAACCCGCTCCTCTCGCCGATAAGCTGATAGGTAGCAAAGAAATTCGACATGCAGCATTGCCAGTAAAGAAAGCGGAGATAACTTGCACTTATGCAGGGATCATGTCAGAATATACAAAGTATGTATAAAAATATACAAAGATTATAAACATATATAAAGAAGTACTACAATTTTTGTTTCGTTTATGAGATGTCAAAGAGTAATTTGGAATAGTTGATTTTTAATCCTACTGTGTCACATAAATCCATTTAAATTATTTTTATTTAGAACTCTGTAAAGGGTCTTGTATTAATTGTATGGAAAATTCCGGTGAAATGAATTAGTTTTCATATATGATGTAACTAATAATGTGGTAAACAAAAGATGAAAAGCTCCATAATAGATAGTTTTTGAGCTATGTGTATCAAAGGTGAATTATGTTAAATATAAATAATATGTCAAACACTTGTGCTCACATTTTTTGTACATGCAAAAATTAATCATTATATATTAAGTCTTGATGTATCTTTTGTTCATCACATTATAAACTATATCTAAAACTAACTCATTTCATCAGAACTTAATTTTTCATATAATTAGTACGGAGTCCTTTCGCTTCTAATATTTTTAAATAATTCTAAAAGTTTTTCTTTCTTTCATGACTTTTTATTTTTAAATAGTACAAAATAGATGGAAAAAAATGTTTTAAAAAAACATTATAAAAACATATTAAGATTGGATATAATGTTTATATTCAATCCCGAGTGCGTTAAATACAAAACGCAGCAAGAAAGAAATATCTCTTTTAGAATTCTTTATATGTAAATTCCAAAATATTCTAATATTAAAGTAAGGAGGGCATCACAGACATGCACAATTTAGTCTCAATAAAAAATGTTAAGAGAGAAAAGAAATTCTTCTACAATATTGCAAATAGGACATGACATTTTTACATATATAAGGATTCCAGAAATAATGTTACAAAATAGCATGAAAATATTTGATAGAGAAGAAGAGTATATTTTATTCATTACATGATAATACCAATGCTTTTCTATAAATATTTATATAAATATTTATGAGAGGCAATAGAGAGCGAAGAATAAAGATTAAAGAATTAAAAATAGACTTTTTAAATTAAAGAATAGTAAGCGTTTCATAGCATAGCAATTAATTGGAATGATCCAAAACCACATGCTGAGAAGTAAATCAAGTTTTAATCCATTGCTCAAGAAATTGAAGATACTAAAGACTTTAGATTTTATAATTTAAAAGATGCATCGCATGCTACGTAGCAAAAGTGCACTCGATATTATTGGCTTTAAAAGCCAATGTTCAATAATAGTGTTTAATTTTTCTGTTATCATCAATCATATCAGTTTAGAATATAAACATGCGAAAGAGCTGGATTAAAACTTCAATAAAACCTTCAATAACAAAAGTGACGTACCAGATAATACTTTAGAAGAATCAATAATGCCACGCCCGGTATCATATACGGTTCGAAGTAGTAACATCCAAGAATAAAAATTACCAGAGCGAAGATGCTTCTCATCTTGCTTTCCCATTCCCAGCAGCTCCTAACCGTAGGATAAAGTAAAAAATAGTATCATAAATAGCAGCAGTGACATAAACTGTAGAATTTATTTCAGTTTAATCCAATATTCTTTTTGCCATGAATATATAGAAAGTATAAACTACAAAATTTTTTAGAATGTATTTCTTTCGGTAGGATGCTTATTATTACCTAGCTCAAAGCAAGCTAATTAATTTGATTAATTTTAATTTTAGTTCTTGATTTAGAATCTTAAAAACATGTTTTTAAGATTGTGTGACATATATTTAATACATAATGTAATTTTCGCTATTAATGAAATAGTAGATGTTCGCAGGATTGAAAAAATAAAAATTCACATCTTCAGTAATTTAAATAAAAGTTAAAGTCACTCACTGTATGTATTTCCCTATGTCGATGAATATTACAATAATAGCTTTGAGCCTGAGAACATTTCGCAGAAAGACTTGTCTTTTGAATTTCACTTCTGGCTCCATATACTTCTTTTCCTTCGGATTAAGCGTTCGAATGCACGCCCTCAATAAGTTCCATATGACGGTCATTTCTAAGAGAATCTGAGGACAGTTTCCTTTCGCACGACCCCTCAGTTTCTTGTCCTTCAATGCGTACCATCGTTTTTCGCCGTTACGAATTTTTAATAATGGTATCGCCACCCTCCCAAGGAATTCCACTTTATGATCCCGATCTTCGTCGTACACTGTCACCTCCAGAACGGAATTGATGTCCTTTACATTACTGTTGAGGAACAACAAAATTTACTCTTGATTACATCTGAATAGCTCAAGCTGTTTGATCATATTCTTGCAGTTGATTATGTCCAACTTTTCTTATTATTTAATAATGCATGTTGATAATTAAATACGTTGACATTACATATAATTAACGGCATTCCGATTAAAATATAACTTACAAGGTAAAAATTTTCTGCCAATTCGGCGTGAGAGTTTTATACTCCGTTTGCGTTTGTAATCTAGAATTTACAAGCTCCAAAACACAAAAAGGATCGCTTTTACCACCGAGATCAGCAGCTGCAAGACCCTGTGCACGGTATACCTGTAAAAAGATTAATTAATTTAAAAACAGACCATAATATAAAATTTATTAATGAAACAAAATAAAATTTTGTTTTATTTTAATTTAATAATAAAAATTCTTATAACAAACAATGGTTAAACCTTTTTATTAAATTATTAAAATCGAAAAGAGATATAGATATATATTTTTGTAGAAAAATTATTTAATGAAATTATATATGATTTTGATATAATTTTTATTGACAAAAATTAATTTATCAACGGCTTTAATATATAATTTAAAAAAATAAAAGCATGAAGTGTTGAAAGTCAGAAAGCAAATAGATTTCTATAGATTTAATAAATAATAATTTTTAGTAATATAACTTTATCACAGTTCAAATCATGTCTGTTTATCGATTAATTAATGCTTAATGTAAAAGAGTTGAGGCTTATTATTTTAGCCAACTTGAAAAAGCCGCATGCTTTTTGTTCAGCACAATCGAATGTGTTTTACTTAATTCATAGCATTAAAAAGTCATTCCGAAATAAACGCGTCATAATATTGACTAGAAATGTTTTCTCTTAACTTCAGGTCTCATATAACAATATGTCAATATATTTATACACAATTCATATAGCAAAAATTATTTGTAATACGTAAATGAATCTACTATCAATATCATTATACGATATATCCATGAACTAAATCGCCAACTCTTAACAGCGTATTTTACTTGTAGTACAAAATTCTACTGCAGACAGAATTCAATAAAGATAAGTTCTCAGATTTATAAATATATTAGAACTTTTCTTCATTCTGGACGTGACAAAATAATCCAAAACTTGTCGACCTATTTCGGGAACATCCTATACATTAATTATTACTCTTCTTGGCTTCTTGTGCTAAAAAAATTAACACTCCAACATTAGCTTATGTTAATATACTAACATGTTAGCAATTTATGTTTAATCGTTTCTAATTACCTTTACTGTCAGGTGACCTACGTCACGTATCCTCTGTAAAGTGTTCGTAATGGAATACCGTTGGACCAATTGTGCTTGTTCTATTGGCGTTTCCTCGTGTATGGCCAAATCGCTGATTGTCTCGCTGGCTGTAGTACCGCTTATCGTCAAAAGTAAAAAGATATTGCCCGAACCATCCTCGAGTTCGCGCCATAGCCGATGCGTCGTCTCCCGCTCAAGCGTCGCCAGATCGATCATTGTCTTGCCCATTAAATCGTCCTGATGACTCCTATCTCTGTCCCAAACCGTCACTTCCAACTCTTGTCCCAAATACGGATCCTCATAGAGGTGGAGGTCGAACTGCTCCAACCAAATTGGATTCAGTGTTTTGTTAACGACTTTCGACTTGTATTTCTCCGTGCCGAGACTGCAAATTAGGATACGGGATTCTAGTGTTTATATGAAGAACTTCAGCTACTAGTTTAAGTTCCTCAATTTAAACGAGCAGCTTGAATTGCTAATAGCCGAGATTTTATTCCATTTAATTTTACTGTGACGTCAAAAACAGAATAATTTCCATTTTACATAAATAAAGTGAGCAAATATGATATTATAATATCAATTAATTATACCATCGATAATTTACATCTACGTTTATATTATAAATCTTTATAAACATGTTAAATAGGATAAAATAACAAATAATAAAAGATTAAAGAGTGAATTAATAAAAACATTTATTGAATATTTAAAATATTCATATCATGCCATGCTTTAAAAAGAAATATACTACTGTAAATAAAAATAAACGTCATCAAATCAAATAATAAATATGAATGAAATACGTATATCGGAGATAACTTGATCAATTTAATTACTTTCAATTAAAAATATTTTAACGGACAAATAAAAAAGCAATCTGAACTAAAACACTTTAGCAAATTTTCCGACACAAATTTTATAGCGATACCCAAATAAAAAACTGCATATTCGTTGATCAAGCTATGTATTTTATATTAGATTTTATGTACCGAAACTTCACGTAAGGATCCGACAAACCGTCTATGTCCATTGGCAATAAATTCTTTGCCTCCACGAGCACAATTGTCACCACTGAACTCCATATTTGTGATTTCAATCGTCTATTCACGTCCGCCAATCGATTAGTTCTCTGAAAATACTGCAATGTGGAAAAATAGGACACTAAATAAAATTATTGCTAGAGAAACAAATGTAGAATTTTTACTTCAATATAACATAATTTTCATAAATTTAAAATAATAAGTGCGCACAGTTAAACGCCGCCATTATTCGATTCTTTCTTTTTACTAAAAAAATTTCAAAAATAATTTGCGAAAAACAATTTCTGAAAAACAATTTTTTATAAAATTGCTTTCTTATAGTTTTAATTTTATCAATTATTCCTGCGTTTAATGTGATATTACTGTAAAAAAATGTTATTTAATAATGCACAGATATGGAAGTAAATAAATATTAAAAATTTTTTTTGTGGCTCTACCCTATGAATGTCCTCCATCTTTCCCTTAACATTGTCTTTTAATCTGTCCAGAAGATCGTGGCGTTTGACTTCTTTCACTTCCAAAATGCCGGAATCAACGTTTAAAACATTTGCATTATCCTCTACATTTCCCGTATCCGAAAAAACAACTTCTTGGTTGTTTAGCTGTGTGATTGGACTCGTTGCCTCAACTTGATCCGACCTTGAAGAAGCAGTTCGATTTCGTAATCTTCGCCAATGTTCGGTGATTTTGCTCTCGGTTCTTTGCTCGTCATTTCTCACGGTTCGTCGATTTTCCATCAGTCTACTCTCAATTTTTGGTTCCTCGTCTTCTCCCTTTGCCGGTGTAAACTTGAAATCGTACGTGGATTCCGATATAATATCCTGATTAATATCCGTCAAGCTGTCAGTTGCGTCAGTATCAAGTTGACAGTCAGTTAACGTGTAGCCAGAAGGTCTGCGGTGATCAGTGATCCATGTCTCTATCGGTTGCAGCCACGTATGCTTTTCCACGTTCTCCTCCCAGATTCGTTCTACCTGATCTTCCAATATCCTCTCTATTAAATCTACCTTCCGCCTCAGAGAACTTCTTAACGAATCCTTTGCCTTCCGTTTCTTGATCCCAGACAGGTTTTTGGTGGGCGACCCTTCAATCATTCGCTTCTTCCAAATTCCTATCATCGCCGATGCTTCCTCGAGCTTCGCTTTCTCGTTTTCGACAGCGCTCGATCCTTCCTCCGTAATTTCGGAAATCGTCTTGATAGATAGTCCTTCGGCTCGTTTCATTTTCGGGAGTTCTTTAACTGCAAACGTATGCTGAATCCTCGATTTTTCTCCTGCGACAGAATTCGATTCTCTCGAATTTTCCCCGACTTGAATATTCTCATAAAAATTCCCATCCAACGCCAAGACCTCGGCAGCGTTGCATTTCACCTCGGCAAAATCCTCGAATCTTTGTTTTGATACGGATCGATCCAATACCGTGACGGAATATCGTTTCTCTTGTTGATTCGCGAGTTTATTTCGACGCAATCTTACGGAAGGCACGCCAATATCGGATGATCTATCGGTAGACAACTCATCTATTTTGTTAGGCACCATATCCGCATTAGAAACTGCGTAAATTTCAGACGCAGCATCGATTTTAGATACATCATCGACAGAGTTCTTCCCTGACATAGCCATTGTCTCGGCCGCAACATCGTCCTGAGACGTAGAATTAATTTCTGACGTAACTTCGATCTTAGGCACAGTATGAAGTTCACTTGCGATATTTAATTTAGATAAGAGGTCTATTTTCGGCGCGGTGTCCATTTTAGATGCGACGAGCGCAGTTTCGTTCGGATTCTCACTCTGTACGATATTAATTTTGCATATTTTGTCGATCGCTATTTTTTCCAACTTCGGATGTGTTGTGACATCGAATATGTTAAGCTCAAATACAGATTGAATGTACTATCGATTTCAAATTGAATAATTTCCCAGGTCTCTCCTCTGTAGTGATTGTGCTGTCACGAAGAAAAATTGCTTTAAACACGTTTTCGAATAATCCGCACAAATATTGCATAACGGATAAATTGTGAATATTTTTCTTCGTGGAAAGTGTTTGTATAACGTGTTATTTTCGTCGATTATATTACAAATTCTTTAGTTTTCCTTGCTAGCTAAATGACTGTGAATTCGTTCTCATCTTTCGTTCGATCGGCTTGCATCTTTTATAGATTCGCGTCCACAGACAGAGCAAAAGATCGTGTTCTTTATCTTTTATTCGTGGATATCTACGATACTCTTACGATATGTCATTCTTAATAAGCGATTAAGCATGTTTTGTGAAAAAAGGTGTCAGATTTCATAATGCAACGGAAATGTACAAGCTGCGTTTAAACATGATGATTCTGCATCTTTCTTATAATAAGTGTATGCGAGAGAATACATGAGAAGTTTTATAGTTTTATCAAAATTAATATTTTACGTTTTAAATATAAAACGTTAATTACACTTATATGCACTGTATACTCTTCTTATATATTATTAATAAGCAAAAAACGAAATCTCTTACAGCCATCACAGATAATCTGAAGAACTCGCGCTAAAAGCTCACATTTTATACAACGCAGCGACTGATACGCGCAAGAAAAAAAAAATGCGAAAAGAAATATCCGTGAGCATAGATTTACACACTGATTCAATTGTATATCTTAGTTTATAAAAATCATAGAGTGCAAATATAAGCACTTCCTCACAATGATCACAGTATTCACAATATTCAATATTGCCAATTAGTGCTGATGAGTCACAGTGAAAAATATAGATGAGAAATACAATTCAGTTACACATATACAAGGCAATCGGAAGTCTCTTATCAGGAACAAAGGTGAAATCGTTACTAACGTACAATGGAATACATTTCCGTGTCGGATATCAAATCGGTACCGCACTGATGAGCTAGAAGCACCTGTCGTGCTCACAAAGTAAGACGGCAAAAGTCGTCTGACTACTAAGTCGTTTCTTCATTGGCAACCTGCGAAGCGTAGCCAGCTGGGCTTCTGAGACATTGTGTATACACGATGCCATAACTGCGATGCACGATATTCTGATGTGGATTTCTCAACTCATGTAGAGAAAGCAAGAAGATATCACAATAGCAAATTTGCTTATTCTGGTGAAAAAAAATTCGCTGAAATTGTTCCAGATTTTGAAACATTTCCGCGAAATTGCTAAGAATTTATTAAATTTCATTAAAAATTGAATTTTTCAGCTAACATATTGAAAAATCGCTGAAAGTGAACTGAAATTTCTCGGAAATTTTTACTAAAATTTCTTTAAAATTTCGCTAAAATTTTGCTGAAAATGAATTTTTTAACTAAAAATCCCTGAAATTAAACTGAAATTTTTCTGAAATGCTGAAATTTCGCTGAAAAGTGTTTCAAAACTGGATTTCAGCAAAAATTTCAGTAAAAATTTTTCATCAGGGTAAAAAAAGAAAAAATTATTCATTTAAAATTGTGTGAAAATATCCTTCTACATCTTTCATTTTTAAATTTTATTTTAAATATCTATCAAATTAATAAAACTTGAAGAATTCTAAAAAATAAATACTTCAAAGTAACATAATTTAAATGATTAAGTTTCTCAAAAATGAAGAAAATTTTTTTCAATTTGATAAAAAATTATTAATTATCTAATAATACCGGTAAAAAAATATAATTTTAACATGATCAAATGTTTTCGTTTCGTAATCTTTAAAAATTCACTCTTTTTGAATAATAACGACTTCGACATTTTTTAAATAAAATTAAATTAGTTTATTTTTAGTGATTGATAAAATAATGTTTATTTAACTCATTCTTGATAAAAAAATTCGAAAATCATGTTTTTGTTAGATACTTTTAAAATAAAAGAGCGATATGTAATATCATCAAAATAAAATATTAAATTTTTTTAGATACTTTTTCATTAATTATTTTTTCATATTAAATATATTTATAACTCTTTCATTCCATATTAATTATCTTCATAATTGGCTCTTTCCTGAATTAAATTTCTGAAAGAATAAAGCGCGGATGCATTTAATAATAAAATAAAAAAATTTTTTAACGATCCCGATGATTATTATTGATCATAACTACCGTCTGAGAGATCTTATCTAAAAAAATTATTGCTTCGAATTACAGCATTGGATTACGACGGCCTATTAATATGTTCAGTGTGATATATGGGAATATGTCATACGTAATGTATAGACGGTGTATTATGTACACTTATCAGCCGGTCTTATAAGTACACAAAGTATCCGATACCCATTGCAACAAGCCATATTTCACCTGACAGTTTTTAGTCTCACAATCGATATTTTCTTAATGAAAATATAGAGAGAGGTCAACTATGGCTGCATTCGAGAAATGTGCTATCAGCGTTATTGTGACATTCTACGTTTAACATTCATTAGATCAATGAAAATAAAGATAAAATGACGCTGATATTGCGCTCGTTAAACGCAACTTAAAGTTACGAAATTGTCAATTCAATAATCATTTATTCATTTACTTGTATTTTATTTTTCTGTACTCGATTTTACTTTATTATTTTTTTTAAAGAAAATATTAACAGATATACAAAATTAAATTTTAATACAGAACAATTTGGCCAGTTTTTTAAAGGTTAAATTGCTATCTTTAAAACTAGACGAGCAATGATTTAAGATAAATTCGAACTTTGTGCAAATTACAATAATAATCAAGTCTTAAAAGAAATATTTTAAATATTTATTAAAAGTTATAATTATTATTAAGACTAACACAAATTAATTAATGGAATCGGACTGCGCAGTGTGTGTAATTACAAGATCTAAATGACCTAACTGTAATACATCTGAACAAACATGACGTTATTCCGAGAAGATCGGACTATTATGTAAATTATTATTAATTCATAAATAAATTGGATGTAACGTAATACTCGAGAGTTTCAACTTAGTTATTTCTCGCGGAATGGCGTTTAATAATAGTTAACACATAAGTGGAGCTGCCGCGCGATAAGAGCCAGGCCTTGCACTCCACTTTCAACGACAAGTCGATACCGTAATACGGACACGGGCGCATACTTCCTTCACAACCCAGTTTCCCATTCTTCATACACACGCTATAAATATACGCACATCTCTCTACTAAGACCGAGAACGATCGACGCCGGGATCACTTATTGTTAGTTTATAACCCCTTGCTTAACCCTTTACGATGCTACTTTTTGCTGCTACTTATTCAGTTTTTTATCTTAAATATTTGTTCGTATTATGTATACGTACAGTTGATTAACCAATCATCTCTCAGATAAGTCAATTAAAGAAAAAAGATAAAAGAATTTCTTAATCCGATGTGATTGAAGAGAATAAAAGTACCTGTTCTTTTTCTTGTTGATTCCTTGGCCAAAGAGTAGCTGTCAGGTAGATTTCGCCTAAATGTTGCTTTGGTCTGACTGGATCTTTAAGTTCTAACGTTATATCCTGAGAGTGTCCGAGATCGAGTTGCGTAAGATCCAGCAGAGCAGCCCCCATAAAATCATCCTGCAGGCCCCAATCGTAATCGAAAACCTGTCAATACGTAAAGGTCGTTTATTTTATCATTAGAAGGTTATAGATAATAGTATATACGTGATTCTGAAATATTTTTATTTTAATATAATTAATACAAATTATTTTTCAAACATCTAGTTGCATTTTGTAAATAATTTGAATTATTAATTGTATTAAAATAAAAAAATATTCTCAATAGAAATTTCTGCTTTTAATAAAAATTGAAATTATTGAATGTTAACAAAGCTATCCTAGACAAGTCTGTAGAAAGCAGATTTTTTAAATGTCTGCTACACACTGTGCCAACAAAATGAAAACAGAATTAGATGTGTATAACACTATTGACAGACTGCTAGAAAAAAACGTAACAGAATCTGCAAGCGTCAGATAATGCCGACAGGATCTGCTCAGTCTCTGCCAACAATTTGCTTTCGCATTATGTCGATAGGCGATGTTAACAGAACACAAGTCTAATGCAGCGTAGTTGATGGCCGACTGCCGTCATTTTCTACTCGAATCTGCTGATAGTCTGCTAGAAGACTATAGGCATTTGGCTATTTGGGAATTTTGCCTTTCTGCATTTTATATATATATCTGAAATTTTGATATAAGAAAACTGTTAAATATACCTTGATAGTAAGTGGCTGAAAAGGATCTTCTATCGGTAAAGTAACACTTTCGTCCCAAACTGGATTTAAATCACGATGAACGGTTCGCGATTTGTGCAACAATCGCCCTGAGCATTTTACTTTCACGTAAGGATCGCTGGCGCCTGAAATAGTGTAAAGCGAATCGCAAACCATATATCATTGATAGTTATACGATAAATATAATTTTCTATCTTCTCGTAAATGGATTCAAATGTCTTAAGCTATATTTTATTTATAGGCATAAACATAATAATATCCACATAACTTAGACTATTACAGGTTTTAAACAATATTTTTTATAATATGGTATGCAATATATATTTAATAGTGTTTACTTTACAAAGCAGTTAAAATAATTTATTTTAAAAAAAGTGCGGATATATAGATATATTGGATCATTTAAAAAGTATCCGCGGTTTTTTCAAAAATTGAACAAAAAACCGCGGATACTTTTTAAATGACCTAATATTTCATATATTTTTCTTCTCTGATCAAAAGTACTTAAAGCTTTCTTTTTCTATTATATATACCACATCTGTCCATCGCGACGAGATTTGCGCCTCTTCTTATATGCAAACGAAGTTGGAAGAAGGCATGTTGCCTCAATGCCTGTTCTCTCCTTCGTATCATCTCGTCTTGAAGAAAGTCGCCGTCTTGACTGTAGGAACCCTGAGGTTCTTCGCCTGTATATCCTTCCTTTTGAAAGCTCACAGGTCCTTTGGAGAATCCTTCGCTGCATTTTCCGGCGTTATCTTCTTGCACAGTCACAGTCTTTTCTCGGCTACTGCGTGCTAACGGAGATTCTGCGCATTCAAAACAGACCGAAATGGACGTGCTTTATCCACTATCGGTTTTGGCACTCGGTGTGACAGCAATAACCATAATTTTCACTATAAACGTGGTAATTGAAAATAGTCAAAGGCCATGTCTGATTTTGTTTTATCAAATCTTTTAAAATTGTCAGAGATTTAAATAATATATAATTTCAATTTTTAAGTTTTCCGATAAACTACATTTGACATATTTAATTAATCATATCTTTAGTCTTAGACAGCATGTTAAATTTTTAAAAAATTTAAAACAGTAGATATTATTTAAAAAACGATATGTATTAAATACATATGAATTTAGATAAGACTTTATTACAATTTTATGATTTTATATTCTGCGAA